CCAGGGGAGCTCCCCTGCCAGGAGCTAGCTCCCTCTCTCTCCCTCTGCCTCTTTTTTTTTTATTTTTTTTTTAATAGTACCGTCCTTAAAGCACTCAATTTTTCATGCTTGTTTGTGAGATGAAGTGAAGCTGTCGCTAATGGTAATAGGGGCTTGCAGGCCTGACGCAGAAGTCATCTCAGGGTCCTGGGTTGAGACTGACATGGCTAGACATGTTTTAGCTGTGAAGGACTCAGATGCCTCCCCAGTGAGAGCTGCTTCCCCGCACACGTGCACATTTTTGGGATGGGCATTAGACAGAGCAGCAGCCTCTCCGTGCTTTGAATCCCGACTCGTTCTGTTCCAGAAGGACGGGTGACCTAACATGTCCTTTCTCTCTCCTTATTTTCTAGCTGGAGCCCCCTGAAGTGGACCAAGACTCCCAGTCTCATGCCAGTGTCTCCTGGGTCGTGGACCCCAAACAGGACTCGAAGCGGACCCTCAGCACTAAGTATGAGACCACTATCTTCTAAAGCAAACACACCCCGTGTCCACCTAGTCTAACCGTGCCTTTGCGATCTGATCTGTCTGCTGTTCTAAACTCCCTCTTCCTCCAGCTGCTCGCACTGAGCCCCGCGTAGGCACTACGTCAAAGGCAGCAGCACTTAGGAGACTGTAGACTTAAACGGCTTTTGTACCTGATCGCTACTGAACACTGTGAATTCTCCTTACTCGGAAACAAGGGTAACACGCTGTTAGATATCTGTGAGGCGGGAGGTGCAGAGGGATGCAGGCTGGGGGAATCGGAGATGTGGATCCAGGAAGCCGCCTGCCGTTTTCATGTCTTTCCCCTCGCTCTGGCACTGTGAATCCCTGGGGCAACGTGACACTCCCCAGGCCTTTTTTTCTATTTCACCTTCTTATCCTTGGACTGACGAAGACCTCTTGTCTCTGCGGTGCACGCACTCCCTCCTAGATCCTCTTCTTCCCGACTGAGCCACGGCTGTGTACTGTTCCAGTGAACTCACCCCTCTTACCTGCCATTCGAATCGACACTAACCACTGTGATGCTGTCTGCAAATAACACACCTTCACTAGATTTCCTCACGGGGACCCTTGCCCACAATCTTTCCCCTCAAAGTGTGGCGCAGAAAACTTGCTCTGATGGGAGCGCTGGTTTGGGCTGGGTGCGATCGTTCCCACTGTGAGCTCTGTCCCCTCTCAGAGATGAGGTGTGGTTTTGGTTGCATGCATTTCAGTCCCTTGTAGGATTTTTTTTTCTTCCCCCCTGCCCCAGTCCTTTCGTTTACACTCACCAAACTTCTCACGAGCTATGGGTGTAGTTCTCACTTGGCAGATTGTAAAGAGGTTAAGCTTTTAAAGGCACATGTTGTTAGCCCTGTTGGGAAGGAAAGGTGTTTGAGAGGGGCTGGATCCTGTGCCGTTAGAGGTCTGATAAAGCAGACGGAGCTCTGCTGTGTGCAGCAGGCTTACTGCCGTTGAACTGTTTTTGCCGAAGGGAGAAATCAGTTTGCTGCCGATCCCAGAGCTTGTTTTCAGTCTGCAAACCGTTGCACGATGAAGGCTATAGGGATCTTGAAACATCTGTCGCCTTCCATCCTTGAGAGAGAGGATTTCACCGAGAGATGGCCCTGCAGCAGCGGGCACCTCTGCCTGTTTTGGCTGTTTCTCAAGTGTGCATGTTTTTCCTCTGGGAAAACATCCCCGTTTATGTGTATTTCAGTAGAAGCAGCTTTTATTTCCAGAACATGACTGGGAATCGTTTGCAGGAGACAGCAGGGCACCTGGCACAGGTCAGAGCAGAAAGCCCCTACAAACCGACCATGGTCCTTCCCCTGGTTCCTTCGCTTGCATTTGCAAAACTCACTGAGATGAAACTGAGGAGGAGGATGGGCTGATGACTAAACAGCGCTGGGAGGCAGGACTCGTGCCCCGGTGCTGCTTCTCCCTGACTTGCTGTGCATCCAAGCAACTTCACCTCTCTTTACCTCAGTTTCCCCATGCATAGGATGGGGACCTACCTACCTACCTACCTCCCTCTCGGGTGTGTAAGGCTCGCTCCGTTTGCAGAGCAGTTTTAGGAGCCCCTGCCACTTCCACACCGTGGCAGCAAACCCCTGACACTCAGCATCGCTCTCCTGACAGATGAAGGACTTTAATTCGCGCAGACAGCCTCAGAGCAAAGCTGCGTCTTGGACCCCGACCAGCCCCTCGCAGCTGGGGTCGCACCTTTCCCGGGGAGAGGGCTGAGCAGATGGGGCAGCAGGAGAGGGGCTGCAGCCGTGTGGTAGTTAGGCCGCACAAAACTCGCTGATGTGCACTTTTACGTGAGTGTCTGAACTCACCGTGGATTTCGCATCTTCACAAAATCCCCTCGCAGCCCAGTTTTGGAGAGCCGGTGGTGACGGTGGGTCTGTGCTAGAGAGCTGTGAAGAAAGGTGGACGGCAGCTGCCCGCTCGCCTCTGCGTGACGGGTCTGGGTGGACATCGTAGACAAATGGGGAAGAGGGTGCACTCGGATCTCCAGTAAAGCTCCATTTCCAAAATAGCTTTTAGAATTTACCCCAAATCTCCCTTTGTGATCGCCAGTTGGCATCAGCAGGGAGAGGTCAGAACAGCAGCCCTGGGTTATTTGTACCTGGTATTGGGCCTGGAAGAAGCTTCTCCGAGTTTTGCTGGGGCTTTAGAGCTGTTGCCTCAAAGCTTCTGTTTCTTCAGACTTGCGGTGAAATCCGATGTTTCAAAATCTTTATTTAGCTCTTTCTCAGGAATGAGTTTGATCTCTCAAGTCATTTGTGGCTTAATGGCACTGAGCAGCAAACTGACTTCAAAATAAGGGCCAGGCTAGTAAGAACCCAAGTGAGAGGACTAAAAGGATTGTCTTAAAGCAAAAAAAAAGGAGAGGGAAGCTCAGTCTAGTACACATATTTCATGTGCCATGGAGCCCCTTAGCCTAGAGCCAGCACTCCTCTGCCTGAAGACCCCCGATGCAGAGGTCGCGCTGCAGTTGCTCAGAGTGCCGCAGTGCCGTCCTGCCAGCCGAAGCGTTGTGGACAGCAGAAGGTTGCTGTGTCTGAGGTGCTCCGAGAGGTTGAGTTTGGGTTAGATCAGCACCTTTCCAAGCTGTAAGAGTGCCCCGAGGGTTTCTATATCCTTCAAACAGAAACTGAATTAATGGTAGCGGTGGTAGTGCAGTCTCTCTGTGTGTTTACTGTGCAGTTGCCCACATGTACGCCTGACTTTAGAGGGTCTGAGCTCTTGCATCTCCCCCTGCTTTCAGCCGGGAAGGGCAGGGTCCTCAGCACCTCCTAAAACCAGGTCACTGGAGCATGTGCCTTTCTAAGGGTGACCGTCCAAACCCAGCTGGGATCACAGGCAGCCCTGCCTAAACTACAGAGCTTCCACTGCATGTCCATAACCCTCACGGTTGCGTCTCATCTCCTGGCCGTACGCCTCATCTTTCCCAGCATTTGTTTTTGTATGACTTGGAAATCATTCATTCCATTATCTTCCTTTCTGTTTGCCTCTGAAAAGCTGATCTCCGGGCAGCTGTCTCCTACCACGGAAATGTAGTAACGGGGCAGAGACCTAAGAAGCAGTGGCCCGCTGACACGAAGATCATCTCCATCTGGCACTGGTGTCTGCCTCGGAGTGGGTGCATGGCTGCTGAGTGGGGGCTCCCAAAGCAGAGGGGGGAAAGGGATCCCAGCCACCAGCTGAGAAAAGCCGCTCTCCGTTTCTGTCAAAGGAAAGTTGAGACTGCCGAGGCTGAGAGCGATGTCACCTTTTCTAGTTTGAGACAAACGTCTTTCAACCCATTTCTTTTTTTTTAACATGTGAAATGATACAGAGCAAATCCAGTTCACGGTTTAAATGTAGCACTGCAGTTTTTTGGTGAGGGGGGAGAAAAAAAAGAAAAATATATCCTCATTTACTGAGAATCCACGCAGTCCGGCAAGGAGTACAATAGAAAGTCTTAGCGGTGGGAGTGGTGTGCGCATCTCTAATGGTACTTAAATTTGCTTCGATTCTGGGTGTACAGTAGAGAAGGCTAAATTCTTGGAAAGAACTTCCTCCAGTGTGAGAAGCCTTGCAGGGTAAGTCTGCATCCCTTGTTTTCAAAGCTACCGCACGCTTTTATAGCAAATGGAAATAACTTAAGGAAAGGAGTCTGCAAAGGATCTTTCACCCCAGAGTGGTTGTGGCCAAGTATTACCGATGGTACAAAGCTTGCTTCCCCTACAGAGAACTGTTGCATTGCAATACTTGACATGTCTATGGCAAGGACACAATTTCTTCCCATTTACGCACTGAATACCTGGAGACGACTCCCTTCTCCAGCCTCTTGTGCACCTGTCTTGTTTTTAAATGCAGTTATGCCCTGAAGGGTTGGGTTGGGTGGTTTGTTTTTTTTTTAAAAAAGTATATTCAATTGTGATTTAGCACTTTTTTGATACTAGCTCATTATTTAATTAGTGCAACAGTTTCAGAAGATGAACAAATAAGGAGTTAAATTTTGGGCATTACACTGAAGCAGTCCATACCCAAGGATAAATCATATCAACCTGAGGATGGCTTGGCCCCTGTCTAAGTCCGGTATCCCCAAAACTCACCATCTCAAAGGTGCTGTGTGCTTGCTTTTCTTTCATACCGGAGTATTTAACAGTAGTTTTGGCTGTGACTGATGTGTTTTCACAGTACTGTTCCCCTCCAGGGAGAGACGTTAAAATGGTTGTGATTTTAATTCTTCAGACGCAAAAATGTAGCGCAGCACGTTTGTTATAATCTTGACAGACATTGTAATGGTTGGGGATGTGGTGCCCTGCTGCTTTACTAGAACGATATGCCCGAATAATTTCTGTTTAACTCCAGTTGCTGCTGTATGTCAGGATTTCATTTAGTCTCTCTAGCCAGTAAGGCTGGGAGAGAAGTGAACCGTAATCCCAAGGGCATAGACCTGTAAATGATTAGGAGGGGGAAGTGGAGTTGGTTTTGGTTTTTTTTTTAAGTTGATGAATTTAGGAAACCTAACATTCCTTGTTATGCATATGTTGCAATTCATACTGGTGTAAATGTAAATATTTGGTGTGTTGGCAACAAGTCTTTTTGGAGAGATTGCAAATTGAACCTCTGCTTGGGAGGAGGGACACCTTTCTTTTTTTGATGCATGAGCTTTTGAAGGTTGGCTTGGAGGTGACGTGGTGATGAAGACTCCAATCTTCAGGGGACTGGGCTTGGTGACCCTGGCGGTCCTGTCCAGTCCTGCGTATAATCCTGTGGTTGTCTTTAGTGATCCAACAGTTCTTTAGCCAGATACTCTCTTTCTCACTTCGAACACAAAGCAATTGTTTTGCCAGTGCATCTCCTCTTTTATTTTGATGGGTTTTCTCAAGGTACTCGCATGCTGGAGACTGATCCTGGACCATGCCAATCATCACTCCCAGTAATCTGTTAACCCAGCCCTTGCACAGTGTTCTGGCCCTTCCTCCCTGCAGGGTTTCGTGGTAGCTGGAGGAAAGTGCCCTACGTTTCTGGTGCTGAATATGACTTTGAATCAAAACGCATCTGCTGTATTACCTGCCTGGGAAAAGGTGGTGCTGCCCTGGGTCTTGTTCCCCTTTTTAAAGACAGATTGTATTGTACAGACTTTGGTTTGTGCATGGCATGAGTCCAGGCTGAGAATTCAAGATAGGTAAACTAAGATGCAGAGCTGTTGTCTTTTTTTATATAGGAGGGGATGATTTTTTTTTTTGAGTCAAATTGAAGCTGCTTTATCCTTTTTAATTTTGTATTTACAAAAAAAGAAAAAAGCTAATCCTAGCTGTTCAGCTGTCTTTGAACTTGCTTTGGGATTGTTCTTTTTAGAAGAACTTATGCAACTTTTGCGGGGTACGTGCCTGTCCCCCTCCCAGGGAGAAGATACGGCACCTTGCAGGACGTACCTCTGGGGAAACGTCTGTACCTTCACGAGGCTGCCGAGACACAGACCAGATGCCAAATAGTCCCTCCGAACACGTCCCGTTCTGTGGGCAGCTGAAGTGGAGTCAATTGCTTTAATGCTCCTTCCGCCTCACTTCAGAAATTTCCAGCAGCAGGATTTCCCCTGGCTTTCTTCCGCTCGCATCATTTCCATGCAATCAGATCTTTATTTTAGAGCAAGCACGGTGTTTGCAACGCTGTCTTGTTGCAAAAGGTCTCCCTTTTAGGTCTCATATTGGCATTACTTACCGCTTAGGTTTGTTTTTTTTTTCCCCAAAAGAAAGTAACTGTGCTGCTCTTGCGAAGTCGATCTAGCTCAAACATTTTCCTTACCCATGGAAGAATAACCTGAGATTCCCTAACAGGGCAGAGAACAGTCGAGTTCAGTTTGCAATGTAGACATTTTTGCTAATTGTGATGTATGGCAGTGGGACTGATTTGTAATACAAATGTTATTTAATCTGTCTGTATTTTGATACTTGAATTTCCTTTTATTTCCTGTATATACAATTGTTAATCTGTTCAAATTTGTCTGAATTTTAAACATCTTGTGGTACCAAACATAACCAATCTGTGCAACAACATAGACTGACCTCACTACAACAAGGCGAGATTGTAAATATTCCTGGGCTTCCAGCAGTCGTTTTGTTGTTTTCATAATTGTACAACTTAGAACAGACTGAATTAATAAACAAACTTAGACACACATTCGCCCTGTTGTCACTGTGACATACCCAAGTCTGCTGGTCATCCGTGTTAAAGCAGTGCTGCTCTTCTCCTCTGACAGGCCTGACCTGTGAAGGTAAGAGAAAAGGGGTGAGGGCAGCAGCTGAGCCGTGTTTCAGCAGCTCAGCCTGGCGCTGTACCTGCAGTTCTCTGCTTTGGAAATCGGAGGAAGAAGAAAACGTCAGAGCATTGCGCAGAGATGATGCGCTGCGGTTGTGGAAGCAGAGCACAGGACGCTGATAAGGTGGGGGCCATCGCGCTGTCGGGGTTTTGGCAGCAGAATAGAGGGGGTTGTGCAGTCCCGAGGCGTGTGGCATGCAGGATGGGGAGTGCTGGCTGCCCAGTAGTCACTTTGGTTAAAGCTGCTCCTTTTGCAGTCATAATGACCCCAAAGATTGAATATTATTATTTTGAGACAGGCTAATTTAGCCATAAACACGCATCCATGTGTTCTGTTAAAGACAGACCTCCCTATAGCTGCCTTGCGTATGTTCTCCACACGATGGTGAGAAAAAGCTCGGGTTTACCCCCGCTAATGACAGCTGCAAGGACTGTTCCGTTGGGGGCTGTCAGGACCCTCATTTGCTAATGATAAACGCTAAAATCACTTTTCTGCGGCATGGCAGTAGGTGGTTCACGTAAATACTGTAACAGTTTGGGCAGCCATTGTATATAGTATTTACCCAGCAAAGATTTTTGGCTTGCTAAGAAGTAGGACATTTTTGCTATGTAGAATTAGAGCAAGAAATCCAGACATTTAAGTACAGGTTAAAGTTCAGATTTTCATGTCAAGTAAATACAGCAGGGATTGCTAAATTTATACCATATGTTCCATTTCAAATAATTCAGTAAGTCAGGTTTTCAAGCTAACATTGAAATATATTGAGCAGTTTTAACGATTTTAAATACCATGTGGCTTTATCAAATGCAGACAGCGTCCCTGGGCTGTGACTGACGTTTCAGCAAAGTAGGTTACAGGCCCCTGGCAGAATTAACACCTTGAATTTAAAAAAAGCCTGAGCTGCAGTGCAGCTCAATGAGCTCCACATCCCATTGCCTTCCCCACCAAATAGTGGCAGGGTTTTTTTGATGGAAAAAAAAGCCACTACCTTTTGTAGTTGAGAGGTTTATTCAGATACGGACATGCCAAGAGTCATTTCCCAGTAGCAATGCTGGTCCCGGTGGATTTGTCTGATTGATTTGTACAAGTTGAGGCATGATTTGAGAAACTGTTGGAGAACGTGTTCCACCCCTGCCCAGTACATGGTGAAGATGGTCAGAAAGAATCCATCCCTGCCTCTGAGTCTGGTTCTGCGTCGGGGAGAAGCATCTTCTTGAGAATTCCCAAGTAGTAAGGTCCATACACCTGCCTGTTGTGGTGGATCACGCTTCCAAACCTGCGCCCAACTTCCAGCAGCTCCTCCTGAATGGAAATCTTTTTGAGAATTCTGTCCATCAGGGGAAATGAAAAGGCTGAGGAAGGAATGAATCCGCTGCTCTGTAGGGAGCAAAAGTATGAAAACAAACAAACAAACAAAATCAGCACTCAGCCTTTGCAGAGAAAGCTAGTTTTGAGCCAAAGGCTTCCTCACGCACTCAAAAGCGGATCTGAGGACAGCTGAATTGGGGCAGGGTGCTGTGGACAAGTAACGCTCTGGATGGATTCAGGGACACAGTGGGTTAACTTATTCACTCTTCCAAATACCAAGCAGATGAAACAGCATCAAGCACAGGGACCGAGGTGAAACTGTGTGACACCAGGAGAGCACTCGGGGGTACTTGCCTTGTTTTCACTTGGCCCTGGGTAGCTGCTTCTAACGATGACTTCAGAACTGTCACGTCCATCAAACCGAGTGTTAAAGTGGAGCAGGTCAACAGTAAAGATTTTTCACCCACTCTGAGAGTTTTTTGCACTGCATTGAAGTGTCAAGCGTCTTAGCAGCATAATGGAATATAGAACTTCAGAGCTCGGGATTTATCTTGACTGCCACAGCAGCGTTTTGAAATTGAAAGCATTCAAGAAGCCTCTCTGAGGAACACAGAGCTGAGATTCAACTACCCAGCTGCTTCAGATGTTCTTGCGCTTGAAGTGAGGACATGGAAAATGTTGATAGTGGCCAAGAGTGTAGGCAAGACACGGGTTTGATTTTTAGACAGGAAGATGGGGAAGGCTGTCTAGTTCTGCAGCTTCTACTGCCACACCATCAGCGAGTCTTTGCTGTCACCCACTGCCCAGCCAGTAGTTTATCGAGGTTTGGTTTAGGCTATTAATTCAGCCTTCTGAATTACATCAAAACAAAATAGCCTGCTCCGACATGGAAAGAGTAAACCCAAATAAACAGTGTGGTGGAGTCCACACGGGCTGGGAAGGATACTTAACTAGATGAAGCAGCGGGCAGGAAGAGCCTCACCTTATTTTCATAGTTGATAAAAGCTAGTCTTCCATGTGGAAATAATCTTTCCTGTAGTGTAGTAGCTGCCTGTGGCACTGCAATCTGATGCGGAGTTAGCCTTCAGAGTACTAATAAAAGGTCAAAATAACCAGCTCTTATCCAAACCATTTGAATAAATATTTTGATGGAGCAGCATTATAGGGCAGCTGGTTAGCTGAATACCAAGCAGTGCACTCTCTAGAGATAAATATTATTTAAAGATCTTAGCATGGTGCTTTACTACAGCCAGTGATTAAGCTCTCACTCTACATCCTAGCCTGAAGACTGCAACAGTACCTAGGAACAGACCTTGCACTTGTGCCTGTTCAGCTTTTAGCAAGGATGGAAGGATTTAAGGGATTTTTCAAAGCAATTACTGTTTGGGAGCGTTTCAGGGTGGAATAGGAAAATCAAGGCAGTTTCTAAGCGTAGCTTCTCTGACCCTCCTCTCCTGTGCAGACTACGTGGAGGGGCCAGACACTGAACTTGGCTCCCACCCTCAAGCAGGAGTTCAGCTCAATGCAGGGAGTTTGCTTTGCTAGTACTGATCCTAGAGCTGTGGGTCATTAGCCTAAACCTAAGTTGTGGCCTACAAGTGCAAAGTGGCTTCAAGGTCGAGTCAGACATAAGCTCAGAGACTCACCGATGACATGTCGGACTGCGTTGCCCTTGTCCACGATGCTTTTTATCTGGCCTTTCAGGAAAGCACATTTGTCAGTGGTGAAAGCAGGGTAACCCAGCTGCGAGAGCGTCCTGCTGACTTCCTGGAGCACTTGTTTGCTGATGTCTTCTAAAGCTTCTTCATACCTAAATCACACAAAGGTACAAGCTTCTTCATACCTAAATCACACAAAGGTACAAGCTTCTTCATACCTAAATCATACAAAGGTACGTGCACTCTGGCCACGACTCGTGTCGGTTGGGGAAGGGGTCTCGCAGGCACAGAGCAAGGAGGGAAGTCTCTCCGTGTGCCTGTGGAGTGTTGTCACAGCCAGCTAGCACAGCACAACCAACCTTCAGCCAGAGCTCTCTGAACTAAGCTTCCCTTCCCGGCTCTTTGGCAAGCAGTAGGCTGCCCTGTGGCCGACTCATGAAATAGCACTCAGCACTACTAATTTTCCCCTCTAATCAAGAAGGGACTTTTGCTCTAGGGAGTTAACTCCCAGCTAAAAATGCCAGCTGGCTTCCTCGACTCCTTGCAGTAAACCTGGCTCCTATTTGGTTTTTCACTCCCAAGGGAGATTCCTGCTACTCATCCCACAACCAACCAGTGCCTGCATACTCACTCTGCTCCTTCTGGAAAAGAAAACTCAAAGTAACCCACCTGGTACAAGACAGACCTTCCAAGAGCACCTTTGTTACCCGTTTCAGCCTAGCTACAAACCCAGGTGAGCCACATAAGGTGCTGCCACACGTGCCAGCCCTCACTAGCAGGACTGCAGCTACGATGGTAAGCTGATTCACCTGCGCTTGTACTTCCTGCAGTCGGGCCTGATCCATCAAGAGCGTCTGTGAACAGAAACCAAATCAGCCTGTGGGTGTAGAAACAGCAGCTGTGATAACTCAGCAGATCTCAAGCCATGGAGCAGGGCTGTACCGTCCCCAGGAAGCTGAGTGGAAGGCAGCTGCCTGGCAGCAGGGCGGTTTAGTTTTGTGAAAAATCCAGTTTGTTTCACATAGGGAAAAACCATGTGCAATGACTCATGGTGTAGAGGAGATGGAGAGTCTGGCCAGTTCTTTCTATGGAAGATGCAGAACCAGTACACTGTTCATTTTGTGTATCTTTATGAAAAAGCTGTAAGGGTATCCAAGCACTTTTCCTACCTCAGGATATTCCTTTGCCCAGGGTCCCAGCAGAGCAGGTTCATGTATCCTTGATTTAGCACGGACGTGAGACTTGGCACAGCTGTGCTACTGCTGGTTGACCCCAGCGAGCGTGCGGATGCAGACACTTCTGCTGCCGCTTTGCACAGCCATCCTCTGGTGCGATCCAGGCTGTCTGCAACAGGGTAACAAAAACAGCTGTTTGCAAGAACAGACTGGTCAGGCGAAGTCAGTAAGAAGCGGTTATGCTATAGTGCAGGCTGAAGGAGGTGTGCGTTTGGAAGGCGAGGGCATCGTGCTGGCTCCTGGAACGGTGGGGAATTGCTCACACCATCACTAATATACAGCGTTAATGTCCTGTTTCTGGGGCACAGGGCTAGGTGGCTGAGACTGGTATCCAGAGAACATTCTATGTCATGGAGGGTTTCAGTCTCCAAGAAGCACCTCTAATGGAATCTGATGAAGGAGAGAGGCAGCCAGAGAGAAATCCTCTACAGCCTAGCAAAAAAGAGATGTTGGCATCAAATGCAGGTTTTCCTTTTTAAATATGCCTCCTAACAACATTTTGCTCATTCCTCTGAGGATCTCAAAACCCTTTAAATTCGTAAGAACTTACAGTTCCTCATGAGATAGCTATTAGCTCTGTCTTATGCATGCAGAAACTGAAGCACACTAAGTAACTTCTTTTCTGCAAGGTATGTTAGTGAAGAGCCTTGAGGAAGGGACCCAGGAGTCCTCCAGCTTTTAGAAGGATTTCTCTCATCTGTTACTGAGCATGTGATGAAAGCATCAGCTTTGGAATCCTCAGGTTCCCTTTTAGTGCTTTAATAGCTCCTGTAGAAGTAGCAGTTCTCTCCCTTCCCCACTGACTTACTAGGCAGCTTATCGAAGAGTTCCTGGAATTTCTTCCGTTCATACTGGACGGTGTGGCCTTGCAAGTGGGTGCGGAGGCTTTGGATGGTAAAATTCAGCATATCCATTTTCATCAGGTTCAACACCCAGAAAATCTCCCCGGGATGAGACACAGTGAACTGAAGGTTTAATACTGCAGTAAATGCTGTAATTGGGGTCATTTTAGAATGCTGAGAAAGGGGAATTCAGATTCTCTGACTTGATTCCGTTTTCTTACAAAAGGTTGTTCAGTCTGATTGGAGTCGTCCCTAAAAATTACTAGATAAACCAGATTTACTTCACTAAAGACTCTTCTACTGTCTAAATTGCAGCTGGGCAACAGGAATATGTCTACACTGAAAAAAATAAGGCAGTTGTAGCCCAGAATGCACAAAGCGGTCCTTGGGCCATAATTCCAAGGCAGTTTCCTCTTAACCCACTGTTGAAGGTTTTGGCGGCCTCTGTGGACCAAGGCACAGTCAGCGTCACCCACCTGAGAAGTTGAGCTGGGTCTGCGAGGCTTTGCAGCCCCCGTACTTCCTCATCTCTAATGGGCGCACACAGCCTTGCCATCATGCCAAGGACATATGTGGTGAGACCGTGGATATCCAGGGCCCCATGCTCAGCCTCCTGTCTAATCAACTCCATGTTCAAGGCCTCTTCAATCTCGCTTCGCAGTTGGTTGTGCTGTGGCAGCAGCAACGATAGCAGGGCCTGCCCAAAGAAGCAGCAGTCTCTTCTTGTTCCAGGAACCCGACAGTTCTCCAGAGTTGCTCAACAGGAATCAAGGTTGGCCTTGTACTGAGACTAAGCTAACTACTCAGTACACAAATTCTGGGGCACACAATTGCTTTAAGGGCATGCTCAACTCTAATGACTCACTTCAGGATGTCTAGCTACTGTTTCAAATCTTGCAAAACCTCCTTTACTGTCATGCATGAAAGAAGGGAGTTATCTGTCTGGAGTCTGAGAAAGCATAGACTGAAAAAGCAAACTATACGCAGCTTCATGCCCTGCTAAGAGTATATGTCTTTTAGTCTAAACCATGTTCTTATTCACTACGTTGTAAGCTTAAATAGTAGACACAGTTCCTCATATACCTAAAGAGATGTCTTTGTATAGAGAATTGCAGTTTTTGTTTGGCAGACACTATATCAGGAATGGCCTACAGCTATTACTATAACCAACAGTTCAAACAAAAGCTTTCCATCCTTCTGGTAGATTATGTGTTTTGAAGACCTGGGACCAGAGAATGAGTTTCCTTCTCAGACAGGTTTTAGAAGGTGCAGTTGCGTAATTTGTGTCTCCCGATAAACTAAAGGGAGCCTTTTTTCTCCTCCCTCTTACACATGTTCACATAAGAATATTGGATGTAAGGGGTGAGGTGATGATTCAGAGAAGACTAATTCTAAGGTAACCACCTTCTCTGGTTCAGGAACAACTCACCTCTTTTATCTCCTGCAGCAGGTGGATTGCCCAAGCGTAGTCTGGGGGACTAGCAGAGAGCTGCTCCTCCAGGCTGTCCCAGAAAGCTTTGTGCAAGGTCTCCTTCACTCTGTTTTCCAGGCTAAGAAAGAAGAGAGGAGGGGAGGGGTTTTCTGTTAACATCAGACAAACGCAACATCTCCGTTTGATGGGATAATTCCTCTTGGCATTCATTGCAGTTCACGTCTTTGGACGTTTTCTTCTCTTAGTCTACTCTTCACTGGCAGCAATACACCTCATCTTTCTTGATCTCATGGAAATCTCTCTCAATCTAAATTTTCTAAAGTTGGACACCTTCCTTTCAACACTGTTCATAAAATGCAGCACTTAACCTATCTTAACTGATGGGTAAAAAGAGCATAGCATTTTTCAAGAAACCTCTCCAAGCCTTCAGAGAAGATCAACAGAAATATTTTTTTTTAGCTAGTGCTTGTTCTTGCAATGAGAGAACGTCACTCACTTAAACAGATCTTCAGCTGAAACGCAGACATCTCGGAGGAGATCTCCACTGAAAAGTCTGCTTTGTTCAAGTCAAAGTCACAGCTTATGCAGCTGAAGCTTCTAAATCTTTCAATATTAGTGAGACACATCTAACACCCGTCATATTTAAGAACTTCTTAGTAAATCATGAAGCAATGAATAAATAAAACAAGCTCCAACATTTTTTTATTTCAGGGGCTATATTATTTTCTTATTACTTCTACACACAAATCCAAACCCAGCTCCTTGCCACATTCTCACATGCTTTCTGTAATGTGGCAGAGAGAAGCCAAGCCTGAACACACGTGTGTATACACACACACACCCCTGGCTGGGGAGGAGCTGGCCGCTTGCAGCTTGAAGTCACTGTTGAGTACAATTTCGTGCACAATGGTCAGTTTGGAAATATCATCAGTTATCTCCCGTAGCTCGTTCACGGAGAGAACTTGTGGAGGGCTGGCTGTGGAAAAGCAGAATAAAAGTGAGTAAGCGCAGGAACGCTAACCATAGTCTGGTTTAAGAAAATGACCGAACAGCCTTTAAGGGACAAAGTGAGGATGCGCAGATTTGCTTATAGACGATATACCTCACTTTCTGCACGTTTAAAGGGAC